ACTGGAGATAATTGTAAGATAGATGGAGTAATGGACCAGTGCAAGTACCATCAGATAATGATCCGTCATGGTATACCCAGTGGTTTGTGTATTATTAGTAAAGGATTCTACTACCAAGAAGATAATGACCCCAAACACTCATCCACCCTATGTAGAAATTACTTAGCTAAGAAAGAAGTTGCTGGAGTCATTCAAATGATGCACTAGCCCCCACAGAGCCCCAGATCAAAAGTTACTTCTAAATAAATTTTATGGTAGTGTATTAGAGACATTTGGAGTAAAATCGCAAAGACACTTTGGTTAGATATGTTGTAGCAATGCCTGAAAGACTGTCTGCAGATATTAAAGCCAAAGGGGGACACACAAAATATTAACAGTATGCTGAACTCAAGCACTTCCACTAGGTTTCTGTTGTGCTAAATATGAAGATTAATAAATTGTTGATGTTTTGCCTGTGATTTACCTTCCATTGTTCTTTGAGAGTAACCTGAAATCTAATTTTTGACTTTGTCCCAATACTTTTGCACAGTACTGTATATTTTGCATCTTTTTTTACATTTTCACCCCACCTCTTCTTGGTCCATGCTAACCAGGAAGTTTATACAGTTGCATCTTTGTATTCCAGGTTCTTCAGTATTCTTGTACTCTCCTTCTTTAGGCTTTTTCCTCCATGGAACTGACCATTTATTTTATAATTCCATGATTTTCTAAAAAGTGTATAGTTTTTGTTGAATAAAATATCTTAATTTTATATTTGTATGATTTCTCAGCTTTGGAAATTTTAAAGATTTAGTTTGTTTTTAATTAAGCACTAGCTACAGAATGAGTTATCTGTGCTCTGCCCACCACAGGTATCAAAACCTGATTTCTGTCATTGTAAGTTGGAAGACATACAGCTGTGCCACTGGTGGTGGTGGTGGGTGGGGGGGGGGCTAAAGATTTAGTGAAATGTTTTAATGGAGTTAATAATAGTTCTCCAATAGTTTAATTTATTTGTGTTACTACATCCTTGTAAGTATTTCAAATAGTCACAGTTTTATGAAATTAAAAATGTTATTTAAGTGTTAAGCTTTTGTGTATGTATGAATATCGCCTAACGTGATTTTACTTAGTTGAAAAACTAACCCAAAAACATTATGAGAAACAGCAGCTTTTTCAGTGAAAACTCCATGATGTCTAGGAACCCACTAGAAGTAATTATATAGTAAAGACGGCTGATATGGGTATTAAAAACGCAAAACAAGTAATAACGTCTGGACTTTCCTAGGTCATCATCAGGTTAAGATGATGACTTAAGCAGGTCATGACGTGTTTATTTAAACCCGACTGTACATGAGCATACGCAATTGGGTTGACAAATGATAGTGAAAAAACAATTGATATTTTAATGCAATATGTAATAACTGAACTTGAACACGTGTTTTTATGAAAGAACTGCGTGAATACAACTTCATGTTTACATGCACACTTATAAAATAAAAATGCTTTGCTGTTTAGTCTGACTAAATGGTTTTTTGTTTATGAAAGTAAACAAGGTTATAAATCATAAAGAAAGGGCTATACAGCTGTTACCTAAGGTAGTTCAGGTCTCCAAATTTCAATTCTAAGCTTCCTGAGGGCAATAAATACAGGTCCAGAAATTAAAGTATGTCTTTTTTTCTTCTTATGTTTGGCGACATGTTATGGGCTGTGGTATCGAGGGGAAGCCTCCGCGTGTGTGGCTGGGATGCTATCCAACACTTTCTTTCAAAATGAGCTAAAATTCCTTACTAACTGTAAAACAGCAATGTTCTTTTGTCGGAGACTTAAAATTATTATCTTATATTAGTCTTTTTTTTTTCGCCCGGAGATTGCACTGACGATAGTGAGATGGCGAAAGAAAGAAAGAATAACCAGCGTAATTTGCTATTACATAGCTGTATTATAAGTTTGACTTTATTTATTTGTAAGCTGCTTAACTTTGTTTAATGAATAACAATAAAAAACACTCCCAAAAACCTCTTTCAGTTACCCTTACACGGCTTTCCTTTGCACTCTAAACCTCTGATATCTAAGCCTAACAATTCTCAAGCAGTTCTTGTTCCAAAATATATATATATATTCAAAGGAAGTATTAAGTTATGAATCAAGTTTTCCGGAAGTTTCTTTTTAATGTGGCTAGTATTTTTGTAGCTATTTAAAAAAAAAAGTTTTTCTAGTCCCCCCAGTAATGAACCAAAGCTTCTTAGAAAATCACGCTTTCGACTGACACACTATTGGTTCACGTACTGCTATGTGCACACACAAAAAAGCTCTTATCACGTGCCTAGATGTTCAGCCTGCGATGTTCCGAAGATAACATACAGGATAATGCATAAGAGCACGTGACTCGAGGTTCCGAGACAGATTGAATAAAATAGGTAAATCGACGCCTATATTGAAGTTACAAAGTTCACATTGACACAGTTTGGTTCAAACTTTATCCACTTGGATCCTAAAGGCTATTATTTGTGTAATACGTTCAGAAAAATATTAACCATCATAAACATAAATGTTGTCGTTCAGGGAAAAATATGATTTTTTTATATTAATTTTGAAGTATAATTAAAATATAATTAAGTATAATTTTAAGTAAATTATGTTAAATTGTTAAATATATTTTTTGTGAATTGTTTGATTCAGTGGGGCAATTTTGCATTATCAATTGTGGATGCACCCCAAATATTTAAACATGACGGCTTATTTACCTAGCGGGGGTCATAAGGTTAGCCTATCATCATTCACATGCCGTGTTCATATGAAGCTCTCTTCTGATTTTGTACGTTGAACTCAAACATCCAGTTCATATTGCCACGGTCACGAATATCGGCTGCATATCAAATAAATGTTGCTGTGTGTCACGTATGATTCTCAGGTGCTTTAGCATTATGTCCTATGAATCACACGTGATCCATATGGCAGAAATAGAGTTAATACAATTGGACCAAACCACTTGAATGAAGATAATTATCAACTCTTGATACCCATCAAGAATTAGCTTACCATGTCACAGACCCGACATGAACAGCTTAGAGTACCGAGGATCAAGTTAGGGATCACAGAAATATCAATCCCAGGAAACATGATAACGAGAAGATGAAGCAAAGACAAGTATACAGGAGAAAAAAGTGAGGTAGATTCATCGGTTACCTCAAATACTGGACTAAAATGCAAAGAGTAAATGGAGACAGAAATGCTGTAAAGAACCAAACAAAGAAATGTTTAAAATTGTAGTAAGGAAAAAATAACTATGTAGTAATCATGTCGGCCAAACAACTTTTTCGAAGACGTAAAAAAAATAAGATAATGATTTAAGTTGCTTTCATTCGAGAGAAAATGTAAACGTAGGATAAATGCAACCATTTTATTAATTCTTTATATTTGAATTACCCATTACATTTATTTTCCAACAAATGTTTAATGTTTATATAAAAAAAACAAGCTTTATGGAATATCAACAATACCAAAAATGACATAAAACAGGGAAATGGTTTATGCTTGATTATCAGATTGTAGAGATTTAGTTAGTTGTGTTGAGGGTAGCTCTTTTTTACTGCCCCCAGTGGCACAGCGGTATGTCTGCGGACTTACAACGCTACAATCCGGGTTTCGATAATCGTAGTGGGTAGAGCACAGATAGCCCATTGTGTAGCTTTGTGCTTATTTACAAACAAGCAATTCTTTTCTACTCATTGCGCAATATAGAGGGAGCAAGTTATGATTTTCTGATTAATTTTGCTTGTTTGTTTTTTGAATTTCGCACAAAGCTACACAAGGGCTATCTGCGTCCCTATTTTAGCAGTGTAAGACTAGAGGGAAGGCAGCTAGTCATCACCACCCACCGCCAACTCTTGGACTATTTTGCGAACGAATAGTAGGATTGACCGTCACATTATAACGCCCTCACGGCTGAAAGGTCGAGCATGTTCGGTGTGACGGGGATTCGAACCCGCGACCCTCAGATTGCGGATTAATTTTGAAGAAGTGGGAATGATTAAAGTCATTAAACTGGAGGCAATCTTGTTCGGTTCTTGCTCGAGGAATATCTGGTCGTGTAGATAAAATAGCTCCAAGAATACGGCCTTTTATCTCAAAAAGCTTGGTTTGTGCAAGTTGAAACGATTCTTACTTGACACTTTAACGTACAGGCATGTTAGTCACAATAGGTGAAAAATAAATAAATTTGAGAAAATAAAAGACCAGAAGTAAGAAAAACAACACACAATTTTGCAAATTTACCAGGATCGTGGCAACAGCACCGACTGATTGTTTTATGTTCTTTGTGATATCCTGACACAGAAGTACATACCAAACTAAGCTTAAAATATTCATCTGTGTGATTTTGAAAATAAAAAATTTAGAAAAAAATTAACGTGATTCGATTTGAAGCTCAATATATTTCCCCCAGTCTTCTCTATTTGTCCATTGCGCCTCTGATATATTATGAAGAATGTGAAAAAGAAAAAAAAATCTGCAGTGAACGTGTTTTTGTTTAATCGCAAATTTTAGGCCTTTCGGTTAGGAGATGATTGATGTGGTCTTATTTTGGAGATGTACTTTTAATTGGTTTTTGTTTTGAATTTCGTGCAAAGATACTCGAGGATTATCTGCGTTAGCCATCTCTGATTTTGAAGTAATAAGCTAAAGGGAAGGTAGATAACCAACAACACCCACCGCCAGCTATTGGGCTACTCTTTACAAATGAATAGTGGGATTGCTCGTAACATTATAACGCTCCTAAGGACTGAAAGGGCGAGCATGTTCGGGAATGGGATCCAAACTCACAAATTTCAGATTGCGAGTCGAGTGTCCTAACCGCTAGGCTATATCAGGCCTTTTTTAATTTATTCATCATACGTGATTAAGAATTTTTTTCGTTTTTTAGAATTATAAAATGACTGTGCCAAGTTGCCAAGTACATCTGTTATCTGTTTCAAAGGTTTTCAAAATATTCAATATTTCATATCGTTTTCTATTTATAGTTTGAAGTTAGAACTGGAAAAACTAGCCAGTGAAAAGACGGAGATGCAAAGACATTATGTCATGGTAAGGTAAACTTTTACTTTTATTTAACTTTCTGGCCATGCATCAAAATTTTGTTGGACTATCATTATTTACAATTTTGACGGTATTTGGAATATCAATTTTATGTCTGTGTAATATAGAAATTAAGTTATATATTACACGATCATTCATGAAATTTCGAAGTAATATTTACTTATCGATTTTTCTTACTCGTGGATTCTACTGTCTGTGAATAGCTTTAAAAAAAGCTTGCATTTTTGTGCACACGAAGATTTGTAACTTTAAAACAAAAGGTTTTCAATTGCATCGACTGGAGAGTTTAGCGCCTTGAGTTTTCACATTGGTTTTTGTTACATTAAAATGGAGAAGGTCAGTCCTATCAAACTTTATAAAATTTTATCTGGCAATCCTTGTTGAAATGCATTTTGTTTACCTCCATTTTGATCTGTGTAACCATTGATTTATGAAAACGTACCACAGATTTGATTTATATTTGTAGTTTTCTGCACTAGTATTAAGCAGAGACTGGAATGGGTTAATATTAGATTTCCCAGCTTTGTAAAAAAAGTGTTTTGTAAGCCATGGGCTAACACTTTATATAAGCACAACTTTAATAACATGTATATGTCATTTGTCAGAACATATTTTTTTGGTAATAAAACATAAAGACTATTACTGGCTGTCCATTGCTTAATATATATTAATATATATATTGGAATTACTTAAAACTGTATAGCAGTGTTCTGAATTTATACAGAATGTTTTCACACCATCATATGTTTTAAAATGTAAAGAGATGAACATTAGTGAAACATGTCTAAGATTATTTCATAAAAAATGTATTTTTTTATATTTGTTTGGGCTATTGTTAATATGTATGAAATGTAGGCATTCTCCATGTATTTTAATTTAAAAGTTGCTTTTTCATTGAGAATGATATTTGAAACTGTATATAAGCTAGCTGCACAACACGATACATATAACTTGTATTTTATTTGAAGTCCTAATGTTATTAATATTTCCTTAATCTAAGTATAAATTTCTTTTGAATTCAGAAATTTGAGTATATGCTATATTTTATTAAATGTAGTACAAAAGATGTTTAATATTCCAAGTTTAGACGTGTCAGGTACGTAAACCGGCCTTTATATTTATTTAGGAATTTTACCTGAATGCTTTTATTGTTTATTTGTTAAGATTATTGATTGTATTAATTCGCAGTTGTTTCGATTTGTTTAAAGTGATAATATTTTATTAAAAACCAAATCGATCAACAGACATATCGCTGCTCATGAATGTAACGAACAGTTTGGATTGTTCATCAATTAAAACATAACTTTTGTATTTTTAATGTATATTTACTATAAAAACTACAGTGGGAATATTATTAAATTCTTTTTTACCAGTATTACGAAATGTCGTACGGTTTGAACGTCGAAATGCATAAACAAGTAAGTGCACATTTAATTAATTTTCATAATATTTTTCTAGCTTGTTATAAAGTTCCAGGAACAATTGTTCCGTTGTTGAATTAAATAATGATTAAGAACACGTAAAATGTTTTGACAGTCATTTAGTTACAATAAGGCTAATCATAATACGTGTAAAGTATAAATTAAGTATTGTCTTAGTGTGATCTTTAGACTCTAGACCATTCATATAAAGATGCTGTAGCCATCACAGAAATTTTTAATCATTGTGATTCCAGAGGAAATCATTGTAATTCTAGTGGGATCTCATGAAAGAGAGAATTTGATATGATGCTCTTTTACTAACCAAAACGTCTGCGTGGTATGTACGTGTATGTATGTTAAGTCCTGTTGTAGTTTAGGTAAAGGATTTTTGTTTTTTTTACCGTTGCCATTACCCAGTGTTTGCTTCGTTTTTTTATTTGCACCACCGTATTTATATTTTGTATTAGGTGATCTTAGTCTTAATTACGACTTGACTTCACAAACTTCTGTAAGAGGTCATGTATACTAGTATGCTACATTTAGCACCACAGCTGCGTTATTATATACACAATAACAAAATGATACATTTCCATATCACGCTACTTCTTTTGCACGAACATTCTGCTGTTTCCATTCCCGTGAGTTTATTGTTCTAACAAAAGTATCTTGGTTTATCTGTTGTTAAATATTAACTGAGGCAGACAGACGGTTGTCAGACTACTACTTTCTATTGTTGCGGTAATACAAACATCCGTGACTAGATTAAAGCAGAACGTGTCACCATCAACATGAAGTTCGGATAATTAGCTGACCGTGTGTTTGTAAGTTATTATTGTCTTTCAACATACTTAATGTAACGTCCATGTACGTAAATGTATCATTGTATTTCAGTGTTTATTTCACAAATTCGTGATTAAATACAAGTTTGTGTTTTATTTCTGCACGAACGATAAAAGAGGTAGGCAGACTTTGCTGTTAATATGGTACTTTCTGTAACACTTAATGATAAGATGAGGTATTTGTTTGGTAATTACTTACAAGTGTTGGAACACGGTGGCTAGCACAGTTTCTTAATTGTACTAAGTGATTGATCGCATACTCACTGCTCTATGGTATATTACTGTAGCTCGTTATTTAAGAAAGCTCGTTTGTGTGTTTTAGAGCAAAGCCACGTTGGATTATTTGCTGTGTCCACCGCGGGGAATCGAACCCAGGATTTTAGCGTTTTTAGTCCGTAGAATTACCTCTATCCCACCGTGGAACATCAAAGAAAGACAATGAAAGATATCTTTGTACTTATTTTGTCTGTATGATAGCTTACTACATTGAAATAGTGTCGCTAGGTTATTGATCAATGCCCCCAGTGCCACAGCGGTATGTCTGCGGACTTACAACGCTAGAAACCGGGTTTCGATACCCGTGGTGGCAGAGCACAGATATGCCATCGTGTAGGGTTGTGCTTAATTAGAAACAAACAATTATTGATCAATAAAAATAAATTTCCCTAGAAATTGCAATACTTTGTAGTAAAGGCAGCTCGTGAAACCACTGAAAATTGCCTTTGTAGTTTATTTTCAGTTGAATTCATACAGCAACTGAACTCAGCAACGAAACGATGTGAACACTTTATTGTTACACATAACGTAAACGGGTATTGCTAACAATTAGCAAAGGAAAAATCAAACCAAAGACAAACACGCTTGCTCACTTGTAAAACTAGATTTTACGTCCATTGGCTGAATTCACTGCGCATTTTTTCTTTGCGTCCAATATTTTGCTCCTCATCCTCATCTTCATCATTCAAGAATAACATTATTATATAACTGTATGCTAATAATTGTAATAGTAATGATAATACTATAAATTCACTTTTTGACGAATTATGCCACATGGCCTAATTGTTCTAGTATACCCTAAAAAACAAATAGGTATTAATACAATATATATTAGTTGGTAAGCTGCAGTTGTGTTTCATATTCTTGCACTTAGCCCATGAAATTAGTAGATTTATAGAGGGATCACTTAGTCTAATATAATTTTGATATAAATTCTTGCCTTATTCCCGAAAATGTCTGCTTGTAATGCTAAAATTCGAAGTTCGATCTCTGCCTCGAGCACAGCGCAGATAATACAATTCTGTAGAGATCAGCGGTATTAAAATCGCGTGATAGAGACATAACAGTGGAACCTGTACATGAAACTCCTGAAAAGCAACAAAAAACGTTGATGAACAAAGGTTAATATATTTTTTCCTTCTAGAAACTGTCGGCTTTCTACAGTAAAATATAAAATGGTACATCTGTTTTTGTCTTTGTCTTGAAGTTCAGAAATAAGAATTTTCAACCTCAAAGGTACTTAATCTGCACACACGAACTAAGCAACCATGTTATAGACTATTAGGATTTAGGTATAGAGAACCCTCATTAGGAATTATGATCAGAAGCACCCGACGCCACAAGGACTTTGCTCGACTCTTTTGAATTCAAAAACCGGTTGACTGTCACTTTTATAACAGTCCACAGCTAAAATGCGGAATTTTCTTCGACCTGAGGCCCTACATGATAACTTAGGCCACACCCGACCCTACAAATTCTCTTTTAAATGTATACATTATATAATCATAAATATTTTTTTTTAGTATACTTCAGCAACTAATAATTTTACAGAATGCTAAATCCAGAAGTGGAAATTTCTGGAAATTACAATTCAAAATTTTAACAACCAAATATTTGATGGAGTTGCAATTTAACAGTTATTTTCGTCAACGATATTGTTGCACCCCAGTGGCACAGCGATATGTCTGCGGACTTACAACGCTAGAA